GAGCTTGTTGGCCAATCCATTCATCACTTGTATATTTTCATGAATAAAAATATGTTTACATAAGGTGTCCTATAAATCTGTATTATTTAAATGCGACAAACATTCAAAAGAAATTTCTGATGGTGCGATTTGAACTACCTGTGTACCATGTGTTTATGAACCACTGTCAAATAGTGATGGAACGAGGTGATCGCGGGACGGAGTCCGTATCCTGCTCTGCGGGTTTAACCCGTCACAAACACATGCAGAGGTAAGTCACCTCATTATGGCTTTGTGTTATATTTGATTCTAATGTGTGATGGAGAATGTTTGGTGAATAAGTATGTGCAAAGGCAACAATTAGAACTTCAACTCAAAGTGAATTTGGTTTTTTTTCTCTTCTAATTCATTTACTTTTCCTTCTGATAAATAATATACATATCTAAACTTTATGTTTTGTTTTGTGTCACAAGTGTCTCAGAAAAAACAAAAACGGTCTGTAGCAATACATGGGATTGTATACTGTATGGTCAGGGTTGACTTCAGTGCCACATGTCATGGTATCCCAGTTGCGTTTGGCAGACATTTAGTGTGATGACGAAAATGTTTTTGACGCTCCTATACATTATCATGCTGGACAAAACTCTCGGCCAGCCTTCCAAAATGCCATGAATTTTCCCTGAATTTCATGCTTTGTTGCTGGTGATCCAGCAATACCACGGCGGTGGACACCAGAAATGGGCTTCACACATTGTGCAAATGTGGGGAATCGAACCCCAGTCTTTGGCGTGACGAGCGAACGAGTTAACCACTAGGCTACCTCAACGCCCCTAATGGTGTGGTGAAAGGCAGTATATCGTTCAGTGGATCAGGGATATGCGCTGTACGTGTAGAAATAATATAGCAGTGTGCAAATTCAGACTTATAAATCGGAACGCGTTCTTGACCCATATGTATCTTTGATAAATGCCTAGGATACCAACGGACGTGTCCCCGGGAATCCGAAGTTGGAGAGCTTTGTTCAATTTTATATCTAATCTGATCCAATGACATTAAGGGCATGTCAACACTGTTGGCCCTAGACACTTTGCACGTAGGCCCTTTTAGAAGGAGGTTACTGAGTGCAATTTATATGGTTGATAAAAGGCGTTAAGAAGTTGGACGAATATGAACAACTCCTTATTTATATAATCATAACGTTTGAGAGCTAGCTAATTCTTGCTCCTTCATTAGGTGAATGCTAAGTCAGTACACAGAGTTAATATATATGGACAGAACATGTTTAGACAACACAAGATAACAACCTAAACGACAATAATAATGATAATAATATACGATGAGGCAGAGCGTAGAGGGGACAAGGGCCCTGATGATGAGCCATACCAGCCTGACTGTGCCAGGATTACCCGGACCCTCTGTGCTGCATACTATTTTAATGTGTGAAACATAACAATGGTGATACAGAATAAAAGAAGAAGTTGTTAGCCATAAACGTGTCACGCATTCACGAGAGCGCCATGATCGTTCTTCAATTCACATTGTCTAAAAATGATCCAATATTTTGCCTCGAATTAAATGAGTGAATGCGATAACGTGCAACTGGATTTAGTTTGGGTCTGGTCCATCACATTGTCTGGATCTGGTCCATATCTCTGTCTGATCTGGTCCATAACTGTGTGGGGCGTTTGGGGAAACCTAGTGGTTAAAGTGTTGGCTCGTCACGCCGAAGACCCGGGTCCGATTCCCCACATGGGTACAATGTGTGACGATGATTTCTGGAGTCCCCCGCCGTGATATAGCTGGAATATTGCTAAAAGCGGCGTAAAACAATACTCACTCACTCTATAACTTTGTCTGGACCTGGTCTATCACATTGTCTGGAAATGGTCCATCACATTGTCACTTTGGTCCATAACTTTGTCACTTTGGTCCATAACTTTTTCACTCTGGATGTGGCCCATCACATTGTCTGGATAAGGTCCATCATATTGTTTGGATCGGGTCCATAACTGTCACTCACGACCTGGTCCATCACATTGTCTGGATCTCGTCCATCACATGGTCTGATCTGGTCCATCACATGATCTGGATCTCGTCCATCACATGGTCTGGATCTCGTCCATCACATGATCTGGATCTCGTCCATCACGTGGTCTGATCTGGTCCATCACATTGTCTGGATCTCGTCCATCACATGGTCTGATCTGGTCCATCACATGGTCTGGATCTCGTCCATCACATGATCTGGATCTGGTCCATCACATTGTCTGGATCTCGTCCATCACATTGTCTGGATCTCGTCCATCACATGGTCTGGATCTCGTCCATCACATTGTCTGATCTGGTCCATCACATTGTCTGGATCTCGTCCATCACATGGTCTGATCTGGTCCATCACATGGTCTGGGACTTGTGTTTGAGCAAATTGTGAGAATGATAGATGCAACCTTAGGCACAGAACATGCTTACCCTTTGTGCGAACACCTGTTATCATCACTGATTTCCAGTTATGAATTTATTTTTAAAAGTTAAAAAGAATCAGTCCACTAGTTCAAGATAAACGATCTGATTTCACACCATGTCATAGTGCATTACTGATATGTAATAGGTCCATAACTTTTTCACTCTGGATGTGGCCCATCACATTGTCTGGATAAGGTCCATCATATTGTTTGGATCTGGTCCATAACTGTCACTCACGACCTGGTCCATCACATTGTCTGGATCTCGTCCATCACATGGTCTGGATCTCGTCCATCACATGGTCTGGATCTCGTCCATCACATGGTCTGATCTGGTCAATCACATGGTCTGATCTGGTCCATCACATTGTCTGGATCTGCGACCGTCCATCACATGGTCTGATCTGGTCCATCACATGGTCTGGATCTCGTCCATCACATGGTCTGGATCTCGTCCATCACATGATCTGGATCTGGTCCATCACATTGTCTGGATCTCGTCCATCACATTGTCTGGATCTCGTCCATCACATGGTCTGGATCTCGTCCATCACATTGTCCATCTGATCTGGTCCATCACATTGTCTGGATCTCGTCCATCACATGGTCTGATCTGGTCCATCACATGGTCTGGGACTTGTGTTTGAGCAAATTGTGAGAATGATAGATGCAACCTTAGGCACAGAACATGCTTACCCTTTGTGCGAACACCTGTTATCATCACTGATTTCCAGTTATGAATTTATTTTTAAAAGTTAAAAAGAATCAGTCCACTGGTTCAAGATAAACGATCTGATTTCACACCATGTGATAGTGCATTACTGATATGTAATAGGTCCATAACTTTTTCACTCTGGATGTGGCCCATCACATTGTCTGGATAAGGTCCATCATATTGTTTGGATCTGGTCCATAACTGTCACTCACGACCTGGTCCATCACATTGTCTGGATCTCGTCCATCACATGGTCTGGATCTCGTCCATCACATGGTCTGATCTGGTCAATCACATGGTCTGATCTGGTCCATCACATTGTCTGGATCTCGTCCATCACATGGTCTGATCTGGTCCATCACATGGTCCAACACATTGTCACTTTGGTCCATAACTTTGTCACTTTGGTCCATAACTTTTTCACTCTGGATGTGGCCCATCACATTGTCTGGATCTCGTCCATCATATTGCTTGGATCGGGTCCATAACTGTCACTCACGACCTGGTCCATCACATTGTCTGGATCTCGTCCATCACATTGTCTGGATCTCGTCCATCACATGGTCTGGATCTGGTCCATCATATTGCTTGGATCGGGTCCATGGTCAATCCACATCTGATCTCACGACCATGGTCATCGTCCATCACATTGTCTGGATCTCGTCCATCACATTGTCTGGATCTCGTCCATCACATGGTCTGGATCTCGTCCATCACATGGTCTGGATCTCGTCCATCACATGGTCTGGATCTGGTCCATCACATGGTCTTGATCTCGTCCATCACATTGTCTGGATCTGGTCCATCACATGGTCTGGATCTCGTCCATCACATGATCTGGATCTGGTCCATCACATTGTCTGGATCTCGTCCATCACATGGTCTGGATCTGGTCCATCACATTGTCTGGATCTGGTCCATCACATGGTCTGATCTGGTCCATCACATGGTCTGATCTCGTCCATCACATGGTCTGGATCTCGTCCATCACATGGTCTGATCTGGTCCATCACATTGTCTGGATCTCGTCCATCATATTGCTTGGATCGGGTCCATAACTGTCACTCACGACCTGGTCCATCACATTGTCTGGATCTCGTCCATCACATTGTCTGGATCTCGTCCATCACATTGTCTGGATCTCGTCCATCATTTTGCTTGGATCGGGTCCATAACTGTCACTCACGACCTGGTCCATCACATTGTCTGGATCTCGTCCATCACATGGTCTGGATCTCGTCCATCACATGGTCTGGATCTCGTCCATCACATGGTCTGGATCTGGTCCATCACATGGTCCATCACATGGATCTGGTCCATCACATGGTCTGGATCTTGTCCATCACATGGTCTGGATCTCGTCCATCACATGATCTGGATCTGGTCCATCACATTGTCTGGATCTCGTCCATCACATGGTCTGGATCTGGTCCATCACATGGTCTGGATCTGGTCCATCACATGGTCTGGATCTGGTCCATCACATGGTCTGATCTGGTCCATCACATGGTCTGATCTGGTCCATCACATGGTCTGATCTGGTCCATCACATGGTCTGGGACTTGTGTTTGAGCAAATTGTGAGAATGATAGATGCAACCTTAGGCACAGAACATGCTTACCCTTTGTGCGAACACCTGTTATCATCACTGATTTCCAGTTATGAATTTATTTTTAAAAGTTAAAAAGAATCAGTCCACTAGTTCAAGATAAACGATCTGATTTCACACCATGTCATAGTGCATTACTACAATAGGATCTGTATTGCATACCCCCATTCGCATTCAACAGTATCGTTTGAAAGGACATTTGCTATATGCACTTCTTGTCTCGATGAAACACGAGTCTCGAGTCAGTTGTTTGGAAAGACCCACTGTGTTATGTCAACAACAGCAGAGTATCTACTTCCGCCTTTACCACCGACGTGCACTTCAGACAGCTGTTGAAATGATTCTAGATAGACGAGAGTCGCATGTATATATAGGGACACATTATGACATGGGAATATTATTGCTAAATCCGTCTTACACCGACCAACTACCGATTGCGTGGTCTTAATGTGTTTCTCCAGCGCCTGACGTGTGTGCCACTGAGGTAGCCATAACTTACGGTAGGTACAACATTATCAATGTACCAAGGACAATCGCTCTGATTTCAAACTTGCATGATGTGTTTGAAAGCTTGACGTCTCAAGGTATGAGTACACATAGTCTTTTAGAAATGTCATGGAAAGGCTGAAATGGGGAACTCATTAGGATGACCAACGATTCGACCTAGTGTACTACTATTACTATTTGTTTTGTTAACTGATCCATGTTAATTGTTCTGGTAGTTCAAGGATTCAGAAGCCACAGTGTCGTCCTTTAACTTACCACGTATTGTGAGTGTTCTCTTGCTAAAATAAAGTGTGTGTCGTGTCGCGTTGACTGTGTAATCCATTTCTAAATAGATCTATTGTAGAATATTCAAAATCTAGGTCATGAATATTGACTTTCACTATACTACCTATATGTGTGTGTATGTTGTGTAGAACAATCAGCTAAATGATTATACTCACTCCGTGTGTGTAACAGAGGGAGAGGGAGAGAAGGTAGGGTATATTATGTTGCATAACTTTGTTGTGTAAAAATATCAGCTAAACGTATATATTTCTCCATGTGTGTGAGAAAAAGAGGTATATTATGTTGCATAGCTTTGTTGTGTAAAAATATCAGCTAAACGTATATATATTCTTCATGTGTGTGAGAGAAAGAGGTATATTATGCTGCATAACTTTGTTGTGTAAAGATATCAGTTAGCGAAGAGAGAGAGAGAGAGAGAGAGAGAGAGAGAGAGAGAGAGAGAGAGAGAGAGAGATTACGTTGTCTAAATGTGTTGTGTAGAAATATCACCTATAAAATTTTGTTTGTAAAGTAATTGCATAGATTTAATAACCATAATAACTGGCATTGAGCATATATACACAGTGGGAATTATGGTAGAATATGAATAATAAATGCATAGTTCACGTTGGGGCATCTCTGGCAAAAACGATGCGTATTATTCGACGCTCCGCTGAGTTTCCAAGTATATAGTTTCGATTTCGTTTTCGCCGAAATACTCTATAGCCTTTATTTAACATTGCCCGTATTGTCCAGGACTCATATGGGTCGTCTGTTGATGTCATGTATATATTGAATGGGGTGTGTGTTTGAAGCGTGACTATGAGATCCACGCTGAAATGTTCACCTACCTCGTCTAAACTTTCTGCTTCTACGTAAGAAACTGTGCGACATTCACTACTGTGCACCTGGACTGTTGTTTGTTAAATCTCACCTGACCATATGAAAGAGAGCGATAGAGAGAGAAAAGTAACAGAGAGAGAGATAAAGAGTGGGAGGAGAGAGAGGGGGGGAAGGGGAGAGAGAGATCAAAAGTGGAAGAGAAGAGAGAGGGAGAGAAAGAGAGATAAAGAGTTCGAGAGAAGAGAGAGAGAGAAGGGTGAGATAAAGAGTGGGAGAAAGAGAGAGAGAGAGAGACAGAAGGGTGAGATAAAGAGAGAGATAAAGAGTTCGAGAGAAGAGAGAGAGAAGGGTGAGAGAGATAACGACTGGGAGAGGAGAGAGAGCGGGGAAAGGTGAGAGAAAGAGGGAGATAAAGAGTTCGAGAGAGAGAGAGAGAGAGGGTGAGAGAGATAGAGATGGGAGAAAGAGAGAGGGAGAGAGACAGAAGGGTGAGATATAAAGAGAGATAAAGAGAGAGAAGAGAGAGAGAGAAAGGTGAGAGAGATAAAAAGAGTGGGAGGAGGAGAGAGCGGGGAAAAGGTGAGGATAGAGATAGAGAGATAAAAGAGTTCGAGAGAAGAGAGAGAAGGGTGAGAGATATAAAGAGAGAGGGAGAGAGAGAGCGGGGAAAGGTGAGAGAAAGAGGGAGATAAAGAGCGAGAGAAGAGAGAAGAGAGAGAAGGGTGAGATAAAGAGTGGGAGAAAGAGAGAGGAGAGAGACAGAAGGGTGAGATAAAAGAGAGAGATAAAGAGTTCGAGAGAAGAGAGAGAGAAGGGTGAGATAAAGAAAGTGGGAGAAAGAGAGAAAGAGACAGAAGGGTGAGAGAAAGAGGGAGATAAAGAGTTCGAGAGAAGAGAGAGAGAAGGGTGAGAGATATAAAGAGTGGGAGAGGAGAGAGAGCGGGGAAAGGTGAGAGAAAGAGGGAGATAAAGAGTTCGAGAGAAGAGAGAGAGAGAAGGGTGAGATAAAGAGTGAGATAAAGAGAGAGGGAGAGAAGGGTGAGAGATAAAAGAGAGGGAGAGAGGCAGGGGAAAGGTGAGATAGAGAGAGAGAAGAGTTCGAGAGAAGAGAGAGAGAAGGGGGAGAGAGATAAAGAGGGAGAGAGAGAGAGACAGAAGGGTGAGATAAAGAGAGATAAAGAGTTCGAGAGAAGAGAGAGAAGGGTGGAGAGAGATAACGAGGTGAGAGAGGAGAGAGCGGGAAAGGTGAGAGAAAGAGGGAGATAAAGAGTTCGAGAGAAGAGAGAGAGAAGGGTGAGATAAAGAGTGGGAGAAAGAGAGAGGGAGAGAGACAGAAGGGTGAGATAAAGAGAGAGATAAAGAGTTCGAGAGAAGAGAGAGAAGGGTGAGAGAGATAAAGAGTGGGAGAGGAGAGAGAGCGGGGAAGGGTCAGATAAAGAGAGAGATAAAGAGTTCGAGAGAAGAGAGAGGGAGAAGGGTGAGATAAAGAGTGAGATAAAAGAGAGAGGGAGAGAAGGGTGAGAGATATAAAGAGTGGGAGAGGAGAGAGAGCGGGGAAAGGTGAGAGAAAGAGGGAGATAAAGAGTTAGAGAGAAGAGAGAGAGAAGGGTGAGATAAAGAGTGGGAGAAAGAGAGAGGGAGAGAGACAGAAGGGTGAGATAAAGAGAGAGATAAAGAGTTCGAGAGAAGAGAGAGAGAAGGGTGAGAGAGATAAAGAGTGGGAGAGGAGAGAGAGCGGGGAAGGGTGAGATAAAGAGAGAGATAAAGAGAGAGAGAGAAGAGAGAGAGAGAAGGGTGAGATAAAGAGCGGGAGAAAAGAGAAAGGGGGAGTAGGGTGAAAAAAGAGATAAAGAGTGGGAAAGGAGAGAGAGGGGGAATGGTGAGAGAAAGAGAGATAAAGAGCGGGAGAGGAGAGAGACAGAAGGGTGAGATAAAGAGTGAGATACAAGAGAGAGGGAGAGAAGGGTGAGAGATATAAAGAGTGGGAGAGGAGAGAGAGCGGGGAAAGGTGAGAGAAAGAAAGAGATAAAGAGTTCGAGAGAAGGGAGAGAGAAAGGGTGAGATAAAGAGAGAGAAAATATATTATAGAGAGAGAAGAGAGATAGGGGAGAGAGAGAAAAAGACATGGAGAGAGAAACAGAGACAGACAGAGAGATAGACAAAAAGGGGGAGGGTATGTAGTAAGGCTGTTAAGGTATGGCAGTTATGATCACCTAAGATCTAGGACCGAACAGAACTTCCGAAATCTTCCAGTGCCTGTTCTTTCTAAACTAGACCACCCAAGTATCTGTGTTTCAGTGAAGCATCACCAGATACACATCAGCGTCAGAGAAGTGTAGTACAACCAGAAATTATTGAGAATTTAAAGATGTGTTGGGTCGTTGTCCTGCTGGAAAATTCAAAAATTTCCATAGAACACGTGAGCAGATGGAAGTAAATGTCCCTCGAGAATATCTGTGTACCGCTCACTGTTCATATTCCTTTCAAATACACAGAGGGGCGTTGCCCTAACACAGATAAACCACCCCACACGTTAAATTTCGGACTGTACTTTGGGCGCTGATACAAAGGTTTTTCAGTTTGTTTGGTTCAGAATTTCAGGGTATTAGGAAACAGACACACAGAACTTTCATCTGAGAAAATCACATTGTCCCAGTTAAAATTTCTATGCTGTAAGCACCAGTTCAACCTTCGCTCCCTTTGTTCAGGTTTCATGATCGGTGATGGAATTCCTCGATTTTTTTGCCAACCCATTGCATGCAGCTCAGTTCTAATTGTCTCCTTACAGACAGCCACAGTTCCTCTATCAATCATATCCAGCCTTAAGTTTTCTAAACTCCTTCGTTTGTTTTTAGAAACAATAATACCAAGCCGCCTCCTGTCACCGACAGTCAATTTTCTGGGCCTACCTGGTGCTCAATGCCATATCCATTTGCAATATTTTTCAAAACACGATAAACAGTGGACAAAGGGATGCCTGTTCTACTTGAAATCACTTTAGCTGATCTGATGTCCTTGTTATAATACTCTAAAATCAACTTCCTCTTCTCTAAATCATCCATACTGAGGATCACTGAAAATGTCGTCTGCTAGCAAAAAAACAAAGGGGTATAACTCTTCACAAACTAATGAAAAAGGATAAACGGAGTCGTCTCTCTTGAATGAAGCCAAGCACTTGATAGCTGGTCAAGGTTGTTTATACTAGAAATCCAATTAAACATATTCCTAAAATTCGCAATAATTTCTGGCCATACTATACATATTGTGTCCTGTCGTTTATGGAGTACCCTAAGATCTGTGGTAGGTTACTGACTTTCTTCTCTTTCCTTTATGTCATGGGAAGCCGAATCCCTTTCACGTGGATAGAGCGTTTGTTCGGAGACGGGAAGGTCGATGGTACGATTCCCAACTGGACCAGACCAAAGATATAGAAAGACGGTACTTGTTGTTGCAATGCCAAGTTGTCAGTCTTCAGTGGACAAAACGAAGACTGGCTAGCTCGGAGTTTAGCATACTGTGTCTGAGAGGTGTATTGAATTAGACAGCGGCAGAGTAATGTCAGTGGACTAGACACATGTATATGGGAGGACTGGTACAAGCTTCACGTGCACGCGTTCACAAACACACACAAGTACGCAGGCACGTGCGCGCGCAGATGCATGTGCAAAAACACCTCCACGTGAAACAGCATATCACCTCACCTTACAAAGTACAGGGTATTCTTCCGACGTGGGTGGGTGGGGTAGCCTAGTGGTTAAAGCGTTCGCTCGTCACGCCGAAGACCCAGGTTTGATTGCCCTCATGTGTACAATGTGTGAAGCTCGTTGCGGGAAATTTGCAAATAGCTCCTTGTACGAAACTATAGAATTAACATTCGCAGGCGAAT